GCAGCTGAAATATCTGATTTTAGTGCTGGGTATTGGTGGGTAGGCAGAGCTTTGGGGCTGTTGAAAAGCAATTGGAATAATAAGTGGCAAAATTGGGACTTTCTCCCTGAAAATGTATTTTTAATTGCAGCTGCTGTATCTTAAAATTTAGCCTGGAATTGCAATTTCAGCATCTGAAGTGCAACATTTCAAGCCCAGTAGGTGGCATCACAAGGGTTCTGTAGAATTCAGTGTTTGGGTGTTGGTTCTCCAGCCCGTGGAATAAAACCAGAGAAAATTCCAGGGGATCCTATCCTGAGAAAAAGCTTTGGACTGGATGTGATCTGACTCAAATAGAACATAAAATGTTAATAAGTGCATTAGAGTTGCATTGAGTGAACAGAAATTACTTATAATTTTAATTTTTATGGTATTTTTTAACAGCAGTACTGTTGCCAGACAGAATTAATTTTGAATTTTTAAAACGTTTTATGTAGCCTCTATATAATTTTAATAGATGTAATATTTATTTTTTAATGTTGCCGAAACAGAAGTAAATTTGGTGGAGTTTTCAGTGTTTTAATCATGTAGAAATCTGCAGAAACGCTGTACAAAAGTTTAAAAACCACTCTGTGTCCTCCAGGAGTAGATGGGATGTTTTGCTAATGGAATCAGAGTGGTTCCTGTTGGGAGGGACCTTAAGGATCATCCAGTGCCAGCCCCTGCAGGGACACCTTGCACTGTCCCAGGCTGCTCCAGCCTGGCCTTGGACACCGAATTTATATAAAATTTAGTTAAATTTATAGAACATTAACTATTGACTAATTAATATATTAATTATTAATTTTATATAATTTTATATAAATTAATATAATTTATACCACAAAAGTGGTTGGGCCTTGGGCTGAGCTGCCCAGGGAGGTTTGGAGTCACTGTCCCTGGGAGTGTCCCAGAGGAGTCTGGATGTGGCTTTGGGGACAGGGTTTGGGGTGATGCTGGTGGGGCTGGATGGTGATGAAAGGTTCTTCACACCTCTGGAATTCTGGGATTGTGGGATCAGCCTGAGCCCCCAAGTCTGAATTCTGGGATTGTGGGATCAGCCTGAGCTCCTGAGCCTGAATTCTGAAAAAAAAAAAAAAAAAAAAATTTTTTTTTTTTTTTTTTTTTTTTTTGTTAAAAGAGGGTATCTGTCACAGCGCACTGCCAGAACACAATTGTGTCTGGAAAATAGACATGAAGGGTGTAGAAAACAGCAGGAGGGGCTGAGGGAGCTGGGAAGGGGCTGGAGAATTGCTGAGGAGCTGGGAAGGGGCTGGAGAATTGCTGAGGAGCTGGGAAGGGGCTGAGGCTGGAGCAAAGGAGGCTCAGGGGCCCTTGTGGCTCTGCACAAGTCCCTGGCAGGAGGGCACAGCCGGGGGGGTCGGGCTCTGCTGCCAGGGAACAGGGACAGGAGCAGAGGGAACGGCCTCAGGCTGGGCCAGGGCAGGCTCAGCTTGGAGACTGGAATGAATTGCTGTATAAATAAAAAAGTATAAATATAAATATATATACTTCATAGGATGTATGTAAATATATCTAAATTTTATATATAATTTAGATGAAATTATATATAAAATGTATATAGGAATAATATAAATATTTATATAAAATTGGGTAAATTTATATAAAATTATGATTAATTACATTATATAAATTTACATACATTTATATATTTTTACAATTTATAGAATTTATCTAAATTTTATATAAAATTATATACAAAATTTATAAAAAATATATAAAATGTTGTATAAAATTTGTATAAAATTTAGGTAAATTTATATAAAATTACAATTTATTAATTATATTAATTACATAAATTTACGTAAATTTATATACTTTATAATATTTATATAAATGTATCTAAATTTTATATAAAATGTATATATATAATTATATAAATTTAATATAAAATATATATTAAAATATATAGAATTTATATAAAATTTAGTTAAATTTATAGAACATTAACTATTGACTAATTAATGCTGGTATCAGCAACCCCCCTCAGGTTCTCCCTGCAGAGCTCCCAGCCCTGTGGGTGTCCCTGAGCTCCAGGGCCTGTCCCTGTCCCCTCCCTCTGTCTCTGAGCTCACCCTGGGCACAGCTCGTGGTGCCAAAGGCACTCCAGGTGCCACCACAGCCGGATCCACAGGACAAACGTGTCCCTGCATCTTCAGGAGGACCCTTGGCCACCTCAGCTCTGCCATGGCTGGGCCAGCTGCCCAAAGTTCCTCTGATTTTCTTCTCAGAGGACCCTCAGGGAGCAGCGCACCCAGCACAGCCTGCCAGGCCCTGGCACTGGCTGCCCACTGAGTTGTGGATTCCCCATCCCTGGCAGTGCCCAAGGCCAGGTTGGATGGAGCTGGAGCAGCCTGGGACAGTGGAAGGTGTCCCTGCCATGGCAGGGCTGGCACTGGAGGCTTTGAGGTCCTTCCCAGCCCAAACCAGTCTGGGATGGAGTTGGGTGCACAGCTGGCAGCACAGCTGGGCAAGGGCAGCAGGGTTGTGGCAGCTCCTGCAGCTCCAGAGATCCTTCTGGGAAGGAGCTGGTTCTTGGCTTCTTGTCTGCCTCTGTCAGGGTCAGGATTGAAGTGCTCCAAACAGCATTTTGTGTTCAGACTCAGATGTTTCTTAGTTCTTATCTGGATTGCAAACTGTGAGTTCTACAGCATTCTACTAACAAGATACAAAATGGCTAACTCTCTCTCTGCAAGGCCTGTTAAGGATGAACTGTCCAATTAAGAAATGACACCTAAATTATTTTCACTTTTAACCCAATACCCAACCACCCGTGCCCGCAATGGGGACTTTTTTATCCAATGACACAAAACCACCCAAACCCATGGAGAGGAAGCTGAAGAAGAAGGAGCAGCCTCCACCCTAAACCCTCCATCTTTCTTTATATCTATTCCTGCATTCTAAACCCTTAAACTCTGAGTTTCCCACCCTGTGATATCACACACTTCTGTTCTAGCTACACGTCTTTAATTTCAGTTTTATTATTGAATTTTGGAAGCTTCTCCAGGGCCTCAGGTCAATGCAGTGTTCTCTTAGGGGTCAGCAGCACAGAAAGTGTGGAATTCTCAGCAGCCAGGGTTCCAGCAGGAAGGAGCTGGTGGCATCCAGCTCATCTCCAGATGCCCCTGCCTGCTCCTCCACACAGGGCCTGTCCCCAGCAGTGTCCCCAGGCTGCTGCTCCTGCCTGGGCACAGCCTGGCACAGGGTGGGGTGCCCATTCCCAGCACCGAGGGGTCACCATGAGACTCTTGCCCTCCTTTTCCTTTTGGGGTGGGTAACGCCTGGCACCAGAGGCAGGATGAGACCAGACAGAGTCGTTGTGCATTAAAATGCCCATTTAAATGCACTTTTAAATGCACTTCGTCCATTCTAAGCCCTGCTGGCAGCATTTCAGGCTCAATTTTCCAAGATCCACAGCAGTTTTGTGTCTCCTGGCTGCTGGCAGCTGCTCAGCACTGCAGGGCACTGCTCAGAGTGGGAGGAAAACCACAATGACAGCTTTTGAGCAGCTCTCAGCTTTGCCACCTACAGAACAAGGCTTTCCTGACACAAACAAGGCTTTTCTAAGCCAGCAGTGCAACTGACAGAATTCTTGAGAATTCTCATCCCCTGTCAGTGCTGGAGACACTCCTGTTTTTCCCAGTGGCTGTGGGGCAGAGAGCACAAGGATTTGCCCAGGGAGGTTCCTCAGGTTCATAGGGAGAACCAAACAATTTATCCAGCCCTTGCCATGCATCCCTCCAGCTCCTGCCTGCCCCAGGCCAGGCCCTTCCTTCCAGCCATCGAGCTCTTTGTGAAGGTGAGACTGTGCAGTGTTTGTTTGTTTAAAAAAAAAAAAAACAAACTCAGCGGGACTTTTTGCTGTATTTGAGATATCTTTGATAGCACTGAGCTCTTTGTGAAGGTGAGACTGTGCATTATTTGTTTGTTAAAAAAAACCAAACCAACAACAAAAAACTCAACAGGACTTTTTGCTGTATTTGAGATTTGTTTGATGGCACTGGGCTCTTTGTGAAGGTGAGCACTGGGCAGTGTGTGTTTATGGAGGAGTTTTTGCTGTATTTGAGGTTTGTTTGATAGCACTGAGTGAGGGGAAAAGGACAAACAGAACTGGTTTGATTTGTGTGTCTTGTTGGGTTATAAGGGCTACAAATCCTAATGAATTAACCTATTAACTGTGAGACACTTGGGTTTTAATACTTCTGCCCCTGATTTAATCTTAACGCAGTGTGTGTTTGTTTGTGAAGCAGTTTTGCTGTATTTGAGATTTGTTTGATAGCACTGAGCTCTTTGTGAAGTTGGGCACCATGCAGTGTGTGTTTATGGAGGAGTTTTTGCTGTATTTGAGGTTTGATAGCACTGAGTGAGGGGAAAAGGACAAACAGAACTGGTTTGATTTGTGTGTCTTGTTGGGTTATAAGGGCTACAAATCCTAATGAATTAACCTATTAACTGTGAGACACTTGGGTTTTAATACTTCTGCCCCTGATTTAATCTTAATTTTAAAGCTGTGCTTTAGAAGAATCATGTGAAGGGCTTAAAAATGAGACCCCTGATCTCTTGCAGTGTTACACCAAGTCTCAGTCAGCAGCACCTCTGCAAGACTTTGCCTCCTTTTAACAAAGCCTCTTAACAAATTGCAATATAAATTACCTCAGAGCAACACTTCCATGGCCACCTTCTCCAGGGCTCCCACAGCCCTTTAGGTTGAAATTCTAAATTAGTTGATTTATTCTGCTTGTTCCCTTCAGTGCTTTAGACATCATATCTCTGTTTAGGCTGGTAAATATTTCCCTGTTCCTTTCCTGTGGTTGTAAGCTGATTTAACTCACTTTAATCTTGCAGGGACTCGTGCAGATTTATGAACACGTAGACAAATGAGGTGGAGGCTGTTTTCTCTGGAGGGACTGCTGTGATTTACACACAAATGTGTTTATAATTTGTAATTTTTCCAATTGTAGGCTGGCAGTGATGGGGAAAGTATTGGGAACTGCCCGTTCTCTCAGCGCCTCTTTATGATCCTGTGGCTCAAAGGTGTCATTTTTAACGTCACAACCGTGGATCTGAAAAGGTGAGATTGTGATTTTTAATTCTGACCTTTTAACTGTGTAGCACAACTTTCCCAAACAGGGATTTTAAATGGTGAGTCTTTTCTGCCAGGCTGGGAGAGCTGGGTGTGTCCAGCCTGGAGAAGAAACTGTTCTGAGGAGACCTTAAAGCCCCTTCCAGTGCCTTTTAAAAAGGAGGGAGAGGGACTTCTTATGGCTTTTTCTTTTCTAGAAAACCTGCAGACCTGCAGAACCTGGCCCCAGGCACCAACCCCCCGTTCATGACCTTTGATGGGGAGGTGAAGACTGATGTCAACAAGATCGAGGAGTTCCTGGAGGAGAAGCTGGCGCCGCCCCGGTACCACATTCCCAACCCTCAGAGCTGCAGGGGCATCCCAGGGCCTGCTCCAGCTCAGGGGGACGCTGAAACAGAGCTGGAATGTCACTGGGGTGTCCCCAGGCTGTCCCCAGGTCATGGCTGTGCTGTTCCCACTGCTGTCCTTCATCCCGAGCTCGCTGCTGGGTCACTCCCAGGGCATGGAATCCGTCCTGTGGAAACCTGACCTGTTCCCTGCTCTGACCTGGCCTCATTTGAGGCTCCCCCCTCTTCACACCACACAGGTCATTGTGCTTCCTGGGTGCAGGCAGGTGGAAGCTCAGGGTGACCTCGCTGCTCCCTAAAACCACCTGAAGGACACTGCAGGGAGGTGGGGTCGGGCTCTTCTGCCATGGCCCAGGTCACGCCCTTGAGGAAATGGCCTCAAGTTATGCCAAGGGAGGTTCAGATTGGAGATTGGAAAAATGTTTTCCCTTCAAGAGTGGTCAGGCATTGGAATGAGTTGCCCAGGGTGGATCACCATCTCTGGAAGGGTTCCAGCCATCTGGATGTGGCCCTGGGGACATGGTTTGGGGTGGGGATGGTGGCACTGGACGGTCTGAAGGTGTTTCCCAACCTGGTGATTCTGGGATTCTGTGAAGCTGTGGGCAATGAACACCTCAGTGTTGGGCCTCTTTGAGTGTCCATGGGGGTGCACCAGGCTGCACATGAGGGTCTGAGTTTTGGATTTGTCCTCCCCCACCCCTGCAGCTCTTCCCACCTCGTCCCAAACCCCTCTGTCCCTCTGTTGTCCCAGCATTGTGTCCCCTACTCCAGAGACCTTTTCTCCTCTGGGATATCAGTCATCTCCCTGTGCTCCTTCTCAAGTAGCCAAACTTAACTTAAAGCAGGGAAGCAGCTGCTTGCCTCCACTTTTTCCCATTTTTCTCCATCCCTGGCAGCTCCAGCTCCTGGAATGGCTGCTGCCAGCTTGCTGATGGCCCAAGTGGGCTGGGGCAGGAGCCTGGAGAGGAGCAGCAGCTCCTGAGAGTGGGGATTTTCCCTGCACTCCTCCTCATGGCAGGATACACCTACCACGCAGCCTCACCTCTGGGGGGAAAGCCTGGGAGACACCCTGGGGTGTTTGGGCAGTGCTTGCAGCAATAACCATCAGGAAAAGATTATTTAGGTAGGGTTTAAAATAAGTGATTTTCAGTTTAGGATTTAGTTTAGGTTCCCCTTGAGTCCTGTGTGGCTCTATGTGGTCACCCTATAAATAAATATATAATAATTAGTGGAGACAAAAATAAAGGATAATTGGGTCACATCTTTTTGTTTCTCTGACCTTCTCAGGTATCCCAAACTTGCACCGAAGCACCCCGAGTCTAACTCTGCAGGAAATGACGTCTTTGCAAAATTCTCTGCATTTATAAAAAACCCGAGAAAAGATGCAAATGAAAGTAGGTGCTGCAGTCCTTCATCAGCCCTGGGAGGGAGGAACCAGGCCTGTGCAGTTGTGGGACACTGCTGGAGATGTCCCATTTCCAGCTCAGCTTGAACTGACATTCCAGAGGGTGGAGGCTTTGGAAATCTGTGGAAATCCTCCTTTAAAGGAGGATTCCAAGAATGGTGAAAGCAGATACTGCTGTCACCATGGCAGCACCAGTTCCAGCCTCTCCTCACTCCTTCAGCTCTGGGGTCTGCACCTTCCCCACAGCTCTGCTGAAAGCCCAGCCCTCTGGAAGGGAGGGATTCCCTATTTCCATAAACAATGAGGACTCCAGCCATTGGCACATCCCTAAAGCACGACCCTCATGACCACCATGAATGGCCCTAGCCTGGAGGAAGGCACGGTGAGATGAAATATTAGGGAGAAATCCTTTCCTGTGAGGGAGGTGAGGCCCTGGCATAGGTTGGATGTGGTCTCCCCATCCCTGGAAGTGTCCAAGTCCAGGCTGGATGGTGCTTGGAGCACCCTGGGACAGTGGAAGGTGTCCCTGCCATGACAGGGGTGGCACTGGGTGGGCTCTGAGGTTCCTCACACCCCAAACCTGTCCAGGATTCTGTCTCTGTCCTTCAGCTCTCTGTTCCTTGGGTTGGCTTTACACACCCCAAAGTGGCACCCCAGGGACCTGCTGTTGTCACTCCAGCTGTTCCACCCTGCCCCGGGCAAGCCCTGGCCCCAGGGCAGGAGTCAGTGTGAAGTCAGGGCCAGGCCATGGTGCCAAACCCCGCCCCACAGAGGGGTTTGAGGAGCCATTCCTGGTAACACAGCCCCAGGATGGTTTTTCCCAGAACTCCCTTTAGCTCCTTAGAGCCCTTATCCCAGCATTAAGGTTTAAGCCTAGGATGAAGGAATTGCAGGAGCTGGCACAGCCAGAGGTCTGGGCTGGTGCCAGGAGACAGGATGCAGGAGTCGCTTGGTGTCACAGGGACCTTGGTACAGGCTTGAATGATCTTTTTATTGTCTTAACCCAGATTTGGAAAAATCTTTGCTTAAAGCCCTGAAGAAGCTGGACAACTATTTAAACAGCCCCTTGCCTGATGAAATCGATGCTTACAGCACGGAGGAGATCACTGCTTCCAGCAGGAAATTCCTGGATGGAGATGAGCTCACTTTAGCAGATTGCAACCTCCTACCAAAGCTCCACATTATCAAGGTTTGCATTTGATTTTTTAGCCTCCTGGAGAGAAGGGAAGCTCAGCAGCTGAAATCCTTTTCTAGATTGTGGAAACTTCCTCCCAAAAAATTCCCTTGGTGGGGAGAATCTTAAAAAGTTTTGTGCTAGGATTGAGAGATGGACGGGACTTTTGATTTTTGGTCTTTAGGTTGTTGTTTATATTTCTCTTATCAATAGTTTAGTACACCTCTGCATATTAGACTTAGAGTACAAAGAGGAAGACACCAAAAGTCACCAGACACACAGCTTGAAGGTCCTTTAAAGCTTTTTTTTTTTTGTTCAATTAACTCTTAGAACATATTTTATTTCTACCTTTCTACCAATAACTAATTATTTGTCTGTTCACACAACATCTGATTGTGGTTCTTTCTAACCAATTACCCTGTGCCTCCAACACTGGGGAAGTGGAGCAGATGAAGAACAAGAAGCAGATCAGGCAATGCCCCAAATCCTCCACCTTGTCTCCCATCCACCTCCATACTAAAACCCCAAACCTCTGAGTGTTTCACCCTATGATAAACTCTACTACTGCCTATTTCACACACACAGCTTCCAATTCATCCCAAAATCTTGGAAGCTTTCTCCATGCAGGAAGGTTAAAAGCAGTGCTCTCCTGGGGGTCAGAACTTCTCCAAACAAGCAGAGGAATATTCCCTGTGCCCTGGCTTCCAACACTAGATGGCAGAGGGATCCTTTCTCTATTCTGGGAGCACACCCAGGGACACTGAGGCCGTTTCCTTACAGTACAGCCAGGGTGATCCTCACTTTGATGGCTGCAGGTCTGGAAGAGCTGTTCCATATCTGTGCTGACTGCTGTGGCTGAGCTTCTCCTGGCCACAGGGATGAGATGAGTGCTGGATCCAGGGCTGTTCTCATCTGCATTTCACATGCAAGGTGCACATGACCACAGCCAAGGAAGATTACATTGTATTGTCCATCCCCATTTCTGTCTCTCCTGAATTTAATTTCCAATTCTGACAGGGTGGACTCCACCCAGTGCCTCCCAGGCAGGACTGTGGAGCATCCACACAAACCTGAACAGCTCCAGTGAAAACTGGTGTTGTCACAGCCCAGAAGGCTGGAGAGGGGTTTTTTACAAGGACATGGAGTGACAGGACAAGGGGGAGTGGCCTTGAGTTGAAGGAGAGAAGGGTTAAATAGGGTATTGGGAAGGAATTCCTCCCTGGCACAGGGTGCCCAGAGCAGCTGGGGCTGCCCTGGATCCCTGGCAGTGCCCAAGGCCAGGCTGGACACTGGGGCTGGAGCAGCCTGGCACAGTGGGAGGTGTCCCTGACATGGCAGGGGTGGAGCAAGATGATCTTTAAGGTCAGTCCAACCCAAACCATTCTGTGATTCCGTGATTCTACTCTGCAAAGCTTTGGAAGAGAAATGACCACACTGGAATTCCACTGATTTTCAAACAATAAGGTCACTTCAGGAAGTTTCTTGTTAGACTCCTGCTCTGTCAGAGGATGAGGGGATCCAATCTCTTTCCAACACTTCCACAAATGAAAACTTTGCCCAGCCATGTCCTGGCTGATGCTACTGCAGAGAGCAGCCAGGGATGAGCCCTTGCAAACCTTGGGAGGCAGCCGGGGCCAGCATGGGGGAGAATCCCCTCGGGTCAGGGGAATGTCTGGAGAGGGACACAGGAGGAATGTCACACTGCCACGTCACCCCTGCTGCCTGCAGGCAGGATCAGGGCTCAGCCAAGAGTTGTCTTCCCTGATAATTTGAAATTAAGGCTTTTAATTAATATTTTTCCTGTTTCTGTGAAAGTTTTCAAGTGTGGGCCAGTTTATTTCTGTAGGTTATTTTGTTATTAAGTTTGCTGGGTTAACCTGTATCTCTTCCAGTTTGTTCTACTGGTCCACATGGCTTTGCATATCTTTGGCAAGATATAGACAGAGATAGAGATATAGGCACAAATAAATCCTTCACAGGGAGTTCAGCAACTTTCCCCACCCCGTATCTTCTTTTTATGTCTCTCCCTCTTCTTTGGCCTTGGTCACCAACACCACCAGACTCACGTGCTGGAAATGAAAAATGGGCATAAAGAGTAGGCTTGGGATGTTTGGGGTTTTTGTAGATTATATGTGAAATGATGTTTTTCTTCTTTATCCTTTTTTCTTTTAATGAAAGGTTGTTGCAAAAAAATATCGAAATTTTCACTTCCCACCTGAAATGACAGGGATTTCCAGATACTTGAAAAATGCATATGCAAGAGATGAATTCACGAACACGTGCCCTGCTGACCAGGAGATTGAATATGCTTATTTGGATGTGGCAAAGAGAATGAAGTGACCTGAAGATGCCTCTGTTTATTGCTTCTCTGATGGACAACAGCCAAGCTGGAAAAGCAAAAACCAGCAGAGATTCTGCAGTGTGATTTTAAGTTCTGCTATTGGCCAATCCTTTTATAATGATTGTATTGCATTATTTACTCCTTCTTAAATTAAGTGTGTGTGTGTTTGTGTGTCTTGCACGCTGGAAAGTCGGTTGTCCCTTCCAAGGAAAAGGCATCCATCAATGGTAAAAGTTTGGAGGATTTAGGGGAGCAGTGTAGGTCACACACTTACAGCAGTACCACAGAATAAATCACTGCATTTGGGAAGAATTAGGCCTGTTTGAACATTTTGAAACTGTCGCTAGTGCTGCCTCTGGTCTGTGCTTCATAGCTCTTGTCAGACATCACCTCTGATGGTTTCAGGATGGATTCTCTCTGCTTCACTGCCCTGACCCAGCAGTCCCTGACTGACCAAGGGGAGATCCCAACCAGCAGCTGGGAGCACACCTGATGTGGCCCAGGCCCCTCCTCTGGGCTGGAGCCCTGCAGGGCAGCTCCACCATGAACAATTCAATTTCCCATTGCAGGAGTCTCCTTTGGTG